CACAAATTTCATGCACCAGGCCTCTAGTCATTAATAACTAGCTAATAACAATGGTAATGTTGCTGGAGGAACTTGGGGGCCAGATTTCCCAGACATGACTAGGTGTGAGGTTCTTGGGGTATCACTGACATAAGCATTTTCAGAAGCCCCTACGGGAGAATGAGATGTGGTGAAAGGCTTTACTTGCATGGAGTTACATTCCTCTGGTTAAAAAGTCCCATGTCCCTTAACCCAGTCCTGAAAGAGGGGCAGCTGGGATTCCAGTAAAGCCAAAAGGAGGGCCAGTGTCCAGAGCTTTCGTTCCATGTTGCAGCCGGGTCTAGTTCAGCATTCAGGCCAATTAAAGTCCATCAGTCCATTGTGTGGGTCCCATGTGGCCATGAGCCACACGGGCGAATGCAGAGGAGCGTGCCCCGTGCGGCAGGAGTTCCAAGAGAACTAGAGGGTAAAAACCAAGAGCCAAGAGCATGTGCTCCTTTGTCTAGGCGTTTAAATATTAAGGTCTGGCACCCTTGCAGTGGCCATGTCCAGTCCCTTCCCCCATTGATCAGTGGGGAGTGTTAAATTAGCAAAGCTGTTTAAATGGCATGCCTGTATCATCTAGTCTTTCCTTTACTCCTTTCCTGCTAAAAAATAGGCAGATTATTGCAACGTTATCAGTAACACTAGCTATAAAGCATGATACCTTAAGCTATAGCCATCCCAATTTTATTGGCTTGGGGAAGACCTTTTATTTTTCATTCTTTTTTGAGTTCAACATCTCACCGCAATCTGGCCTAACGTGGTCTCAAGACAGTAGAAGCTTTTCCTCAGACTCTGACAAATAAAACTTCCAATAAAAGGTTAAGTTTATTGCTCTAAAATTATGCCACTAGTCTGAAGCCACATTACAGGTGCCACATTGACCATAGTGGAAACAATAGCTCTTCTGGTAAACTTTCAAGAAAAACACTGTGGAGGGAAAAAAAAATAAAAGTATGGGTGGGCCTTTGTTGAGGTCATTGTTCCCAATTAATCCAGAATTCATTTGCCTCACAAAGCACTAATTGACGCGTGCTTTCTGAATAGGCTGTGAAGACAAGAATAAAAGGGATTGGTACCAATTGTGATAATAAGGCTTGTGTCCCTTTAGGAATAAGCCAAAAGGTCACACTGTAAGCATGCACTTAGATAATTCTGGCAACTACAATTCACCTTTTAGAAGTTAACTTTGATTTTATTTTTCAAAGAACATATCTCAACAGGATTAAAATACTTAACTCCCACCCCCAAAAATCTGTCTGCTTTCCATCTACCTACTGTCTGTCTTTAGTGCCCTCTGCTGGAAGCACGTAGCATGTATATTTATTAGACCTCAGACCTTGCTATTTAGAGAAATATAAGTGATAATGCTAGAATAGATAAATATGTTTTCTTGGCATAGCTTTGCATGTTTTCACCAGTCTCGGTAGAGCAATAGGCTCCCAGCAATTTTTTTGTTGTTATTGTTCAGAACTTAGAATGTAACCAACACAATTACATCATGTGACGAGATAGACAAAATAACATTAACAAAAAAACTGATAATACCTGAAATGAGGAGAAACCTAATGGAATGCATTCATTAGAAGGTATGCATGACCTGGAAGTTTATACATTTGTTTTTCCCTTTATTTACTTACTTAGTTCACTTATTTATAGTTTACCTTTTCCCAGAAAGGATATTAGTCTATGTGAACACAAAATGCTTACTGCTAGTGAATGGCCGAAATTTTAAATGGAGTGTTTCTTGCTTATATTTGTCAAGCCCCCACCAGTCTGAGAACAGATGAGGTATTCAGATTGAAGGCAGCTTATCTGTGAAGCTGGGTCTCTAGCTGTTATATGATCTCAAAATCAATCTTAAGAAAGTACAGGCGGTTTGACAGGATAGCTGTAATGAACAGAGAGCACTGTTGTTTTCAGAAATAAGATTAAAGAGCAATACTACTTGAAGATCTCGAGTAGCATATTCCGTAGATCTTGAAATTCTGTATTGAGTTTCACTGGTGCAAAACAGTCTGTTCCTTGTGAGAGAATTTCCACCCAATAAGTCATGGCGGTTTGAGATTAACTTGGAGAGCTCAGGGTTTATGGTTTAAAATTGGACCTGGCTAGCGGTACCTAACATGCTATTTCCCACTTAAGTACTTTTGAAAAGTGACAAAACCTCACAAAAACAGAAAAATAGAACTGAAGTCTCCCTTTGGCAAGAAACTAGAAAAACTTTTTACTGCCTTTATAGGGGCAAGAGACTGTTAGGCCTACCTATTAGCAGCCAACTGGAAATTAGGTAGGAAAACACTTTTGATACCCTTCTAATGCTGGTGAAACTGTTACCGGCAATTGAACCTCGGTTCAGCAACCTCGGTACTTGAGTTCTGGCTAAGAAAGAATCCAGAACCAAGACAAATACAAGGGATCGAGGGGGTTGGGGAGGCAAAGGGAGAGGGAGCACCTTGGGGAAAGAAGGGGCTGGGCAAAGGCGAGGGGTGTTCAAGGGAGACCAAGAGCAAGTGCTGAGTCCCTTGTCTTGAGGGTATTTATCTGGAGACCCCAAGGGAGGATCTCAACAGAATATTCATCAGCTTTGTGGCTGTGTCCCTGTCCTTTCAGGGTTGTGGTCTCTACTGATGGGTACCTGCCAGGTCTACCACAGGTTAGGGGAGGTCCACACTGCAAGACCAGTGATATGAAAGGTCAGGGGTCTATACCACATGGCAAGCTTTATGCTAGCGGGGGAAAGGTCACCCTGGGGGTGAGGTTCCACCCTACAATTGTCCATTGCTAGGCACCTTTGGGTATCTGGCCAAAGGTGCTAATGCCTGTCTAACTGCCTACTACATCATTATCATCTTACTAATATTAAAAAAATAAAGCAAGATTTATACTAGTTAGAAAATTGAAGGTTTAGCAATAGTGGAATAGTATTTGAACCTAGAGAAAAATCATTGGTGGCTGCCAGATAATGTTGTTTTTCAGAGCCTAAAACCCAGTCCCAAGTCCAATATAAGGAGCCCCTTAAAGGACTACTTCTTTGTTTAGCTCATGGTTTGACACCTGGTAGTCAAGCCTCATTTTTCTCTATGTTCCAGGAGTTCCTCTAAGCATGTCTTGGTCTCCTTAAAGGCCAAAGCTCAAGTCTTAAAGGCCCTGGGTAGGAAGGAGTTCCCTCTTCCTTCCATGCTAAGGCCTTTTCCTCAAGCCTTCCCTTCATATCCCAGAATCTGCCTTTCCCTGAGCCAGGGACACAGTCACTGTCTTCACAGAAGTCCATCCCAGACACCCTCAAAAGATGCGGCCTTCTGTGATCTCAAAGGGACAATGTCAGAGCACAATAGAACAACAGCAACACAAAGATACATGTGCATGTGTATCCTTACATTGTTCCATTCCAAATTATAAAGAGTAAACAGAGCCTTTGATGTTTAACATTTCTCTAAGTGTGGGTGGCTCGGTCTTCATACATGAGCTCCTCCAACAGTATCAGTTAGGTTGGCCCTTCACCTGCCCAGGTCCTTTACTGTAAGACCTTTCCAAGAAGAAAGCTTCTCCCAGGCATCTGGGCTGGGAGTGGGAGCTCATCCCTGGGATGATGAAGGTGGGAGAATGACCTGCCCTCCTCTTACTCCTGCCTTTGCCCTATGTAGAAGGTCATTGGCTTTTCATCCAGTATATGCTATGTCTCTGTATGTTCTCAGATGAAGTAGGTATCCTTATACGTAAGGGTAAAGATTTTTTTTAATCCTGTCGGCATCCAGGTAGGATATTTTCCTTTACAAAGTAAAAGTGATCAGCCTCGCCCTAAATTTCTTTGGAACACCGAATTCCAAACCGGAATAATATAGGTAGTTGATCAAAGAGTGTATTTATACTCATCAAGATATCATTTACATAAAAAGTCAAAGATACTCTCTGATATACAATGGTTATAAAAAAGATTACAATCATGGATTCTTTTTTAATTATATGTTTATTGATTTCAGAGAGGAAGGGAGAGGGAGAGAGAGAGGGAAACATCAATGATGAGAGAGAATTGTTGATCAGCTGCCTCCTGCATGCCCCACACTGGGGATCAAACCCACAACCCAGGCATGTACCCTGACCTGGAATTGAACTGTGACCTCCTGGTTCATAGGTCGATGCCCAACCACTTAGCCACACCAGCCAGGCTGCTCATGGATTCTTAAAAAACATACAAATACACACATCAACTGTGCAAAGAAAAAAGCAAGAAGGAAACAGGTGTTTGCAGTGGTAACTTTAGTGGTTTCTGTTCTGCTCCTTCGTGATTTTTTATATTTTCTAAAATCCTCTTAATGAGATTCATTGCTATTTTAATCACTGAAAAGTAAAATAAGCATTGGGAAAACTCAAAGATTATCTAAAAATTATAGAACATCTGCAAGGGACAAAATATGCTAGGAACCCTGTTCCCAGCCAATATGCTGAACTGAACATAGAGAATAGAACAAGGAGTTTTCTTTTTCATAAAATGCCATCTCTTGCTTTAAGTATATAAACACTATGTAAAATACTATATAAGTATATAAATACAGTATTTGCCGTGTTTCACATTAAAGTGAAAAGCATGATGTGCTGAACGAATAAAGCTAATTAATTAAAATATGATTTTTAATCTTTTGAAAGGCTGAGGACAATCAGACCACTTTTATTTTTCCTCTGAACTTAGCATTTCCATCTAAGTTCTCTTCTTGGTTTATTAATAGGTCGAGCAATATCATACTGTCATTTTCCATGGCCCGGAAGGAAGCTTGCAAGATTACATAGTACATCAGCTTGCAGTCTGCATGAAGGTATCGATGACTTGCAGACCCTCTCCCTTTTTTGAAAACTTGAATGTGTGTAGAACTAACCACTCTGTTCCCTTGCACAGCACAGACAGATGGCTGCAGGATTCTCTTGTGAGATAGTGAGAGCTGAAGTGGATGCTGACTTCTCTAAGGAGCAGCTAGTAGACCTGTTCATCAGTAGCGGTAAGACCACTTCAGCAAACTGAATTATGATAACCAAAGGGCTTGCTCTTCAATGACGCCATTAAAAGGAAATGAACTTTGTTGCTTAGGGATACATTTAAGTCAACTTTTCAATTATTCAGGGGCCCTAGTTGGTTTGCCTCAGTGGATAGAGCGTCGGCCTGTGGACCAAAGGGTCCTGGGTTCGATTCCAGTCAAGGGCACGTACCTCAGTTGCAGGCTCCCCCCTACCCGGCCTAGGCCCTGATCCTGATCGGGGTGTGTGCAGGAGGCAACCAATCGATGTGTCTCTCTCACATCGGTATTTCTCTCTGTCTTTCCCTCTGTTCCATTCTCTCTAAAAATTGATGGGAAAATATCCTCAAGATAAGGATTTAAAAAAAAAAAAGCATCTATGGCAGGGGTTCTCAACCTGTGGGTCGCGACCCCTTTGGCGGTCGAACGACCCTTTCACAGGGGTTGCCTAAGACCATCCTGCATATCAGATATTTACATTACGATTCATAACAGTAGCAACATTACAGTTATGAAGTAGCAACGAAAATAATTTTATGGTTGGGTCACAACATGAGGAACTGTATTTAAAGGGCCAGAAGGCGGAGAACCACTGAACCGGTTTGGCTCAGTGGATAGAGCGTCGGCCTGTGGACTGAAAGGTCCCAGGTTCGATTCCGGTCAAGGGCATGTACCTGGGTTGCAGGCACATCCCCAGTAGGAGATGTGCAGGAGGCAGCTGATCGATGTTTCTCTCTCATCGATGTTTCTAACTCTCTATCTCTCTCCCTTCCTCTCTCTGTAAAAAATCAATAAAATATAAAAAAAAAAATTGGGAACTCAGATGAATATTCGCAAAAAAATATTTTTCTGTATATATATTATATCATTGCATTTATTGTACTTCCTGCATTGTCTTCCCTTCTTTTTCTTATCTTTTGTTTATAACTCATCTGATGTGAGTGCTGTATTACTGGCACCAGAGGTATACCAAGGGAGGAGGTGGTGGGAGCAGTCTGCCCTAGTGGGACTGAGAATGGCATCACTGCTGCTGTTTAGAATTGCACAGTGATCATGAAAAACACATCAGTTATGGTAATTTATTTTATTTATAAATTTTCTACAACCAAAACACCCTTTACCGCTGTACCAGGGGTGAACTGCTTTCTCCACGTCACCTTTAGTAAGCTATTGACCATGACTTTGCTAAACACATTGCATATATTTCATCTCTGTGACAGCATATGCAAGTAGGTATAATTCTCTTCATTTCAAAGGTGGGGAAACAGGCACAGAGAAGTTCAGTAACTTGCCACAACTACACAGTGGCAGAACCAGGATTAAATGTGTTTATTAATACAACATTTTCATGAAGTTCTATAATAGGTTTCAGAGCTGAAGACGCTAAGCTTCACCACAGGTGCAATTAGCATAGTCCTGCATAGCATAGCATGTCTAGTGACTATGGCACAAAACTGAAAGAACCAGACTCCAGTCTCCACTGGATTAGAGCTACAGAGAGCCCTGGGGAGCAGGTGACGGAGGGAAGCAGTTGCAAAATCCATGGAGGGAGCTTTGAAAAGCAAATTCACATCTCCCTTTTGGAGGAGGGGTGCTTCTCAGCTTTGGGTGAGATCTGGTGGCTAGGGCAACTGTTGACCATGCTTAGGAAGAAGGAAATAACCAACAGTTCCCAAATGAAGAAATAAAATTAAGCCGCGGGGGGAAAGGACACATATGTAATACCCTTTGTAATACTTATTATAATATTTTTTTAAAAAGAATAATTAAAAAAATAAAATAAAATAAAATAAAATTGCAATATGGGTAGCTTTTAAGAAAAATAAAAAATAAAAAAAAATAAAATTAAGCCGCAGCTGTGGGCATGAACCGAGGATTCCCAAACCTAGAAGCACATTGTGGGGACGAGAAAATCCCACTAGAATCTGAATGTTGCTGTGGTACCCAGCCTAGCCTTTGGTCAGAAACTAGTGAAAGTTAGCTACAGAAAGCTGTTTTCTCTGAAGATGCTACTAATAATAGCTAACATTGATTAAGCTCTTCCTCTGGTAGGCCCTGATCTAAACAATCCTGATTTATAAACATGAATCATGAGAAAACAGGGTAAATACTTTGACCAAAAGATCTCACAGCTAGGACACAAAGGAGGAGTAGGACTCAAACCCAAGCATCTGACTCCTGAATCTTACCTTAATCAGTGCCAGGCACTATTCCTTAAAAACGCACCTGTGCCAAGATGTCTGTTTCCCCCTTAGTTATGTAACAAAGGCCCCCTACATTTTTCAGCTTTGCCTTGTTTCATCTCAAAGTTAGAAGCTAAAGTCTTTTGTTCTCTCTCTATTAGATAGATAGCAACTACAGGCTGAATTCTGCTTAAGCTTAGTGAGCTAAAAACGTAGGAGAGCAGTGAATTAGGTCATGGGGTGACCTCAGGTGGATGGCTCAGCATTTCTAAATCTCTGGGGAGCATCTTCTTAAAAAGAGCTCCTCTTCTTGGCTTCCAAATTTGCTGAGTGGCGCAAGTCTTTTGGCCCCTCACACTTGAAACTCAGGTTTTATTGACAAGCTTGAAAACCTAAATGACCCCAAGTGCCAACAAGCCACAGGAAGGGGTGAACTGACTGGGTGGGGCTAGGGGAGGAGGAGGGACATCTCCATCTACCTGAGGGCAGCTCTCAGCTCCAGCAGCTTGTTGCTGGCAGAAGTGTAGCGTCAGTGTCCTGAAATCTTGTAATTTTTAGGAAAAAGCCGGAAGTCTAGGTATTCATGTAAAAATGTAGGGTTTCTTTCTTTCAATGTTGTCAACTATTTCAATTTTTTCTTAATATATTTTTATTGGTTTCAGAGAAGAAGGGAGAGGGAGAGAGAGATAGAAACATCAATGATGAGAATCACTGATTGGCTGCCTCCTGCATGCCCCCTACTGGGGATCGATCCTGCAACATAGGCATGTGCCCTCACTGGGAATGGAATCAGCGACCTCCTGGATCATAGGTCAATGCTCAAGCACTGAACCACACAGGCTGGGCTCAACTATTTCAATTTTTAAAGCAATATGAGGGCCACATAGAACCCCACGGTCTTCTCATTCATGGACCCCTCATCCCTCTCCCATAGCCAGTCCATGGTTATATCTTGCCAAGTTGGCCTCAATGCCCATCCCCAGTGACATCATCTTACCTTCTGCCTCCTTTCCTACATCTCGTCTTCTTTTCTGTAAATGGCTGTCTGCCTACTGCTTCTCTTCCCTGAGCGCCCCTCAGAGACCACCAGACCCTAAGTAAAAGCTCTCTGTGGTTCTTGCCTCCCAAGTTGCTTATTTGAACTTTATTTATTTTTTTTTATGTAGATAAAACATTGTGTATGATTATGGTGTATAATGTAATGCATTGATTTGCAAAACGATTACTACCATAGCATTTGCTAATACCGCCACCACGTCATATAATTACCCTTTTTTTTTGTGGTGAGAACATATTAGTTTACCCTTTGAGCAACTTTCAAATATATAATATGTTGTTAACCATAGGCACCATGCTATACATTAGATCCTCAAAATGTATTCATTTTATATTTGAAAAGTTTGTACCTTTGACCAACATCTCCTCATTTCCCCCAACACTCCCCAGGTGCTGCCAACCACCACTCTACTCTGTTTCTCTGAGTTTGGCTTTTTTAGATTCCACATATGTGATATCATACAGTACTTGTCTTTCTCTGTCTCACTTATCTCACTTAGCATAATGTCCTCCAGGTTCATCCATGTCATCACAAATGGCAGGATTTTCTTCTTTATGGCTGAATAATATTCCTCTGTGTGTGTGTGTTTAATTTTCTGTTGTTTCCATGTCTTGGTTATTGTAAACGATGCTGCAGCAAACAAGGGGGTGCAGCTATCTCTTCAAGATCCTGATTTAATTTCCTTTGGATATATACCCAGAAGTAGAATTGCTGGGTCATATGGTAGTTCTATTTTGAATTTTTTGAGGACCTCCATACTGTTTTCCACAGTAGCCACATGAATTTCTATCAACAGTGCACAAGGCTTCCCATTTGTCCACATTCTTGCCAACATTTGCCTCTTCTCTTTGTTATAATAGCTAGCTGTTCCGACAGGCATGAAGCAAGATCTCGTGATTTTGATTAGCATTTTTCTGAAGATTAGTAATGTTGACTTTTCATGTACCTGTTGGCCATTTGTAAGTCTTCTTTGGAATATTTGTCTTTTTAATAGATGTCAGTAAAATATGGTGTTTACTCCTTACACGTTTTTTGTTTTTCCACTCTCCGTGTCTTTGTTCAAGCTACAATTTTCATCTAGAATTTTAGAGTGAACATACAACCCCAGCACACACTACAGTTAACACATGGCAGGTACTATGCAGAGTATTATATATACCAGTGATGGCAAACCTATGACACGCGTGTCAGAGGTGACACGCGAACTCATTTTTTTGGTTGATTTTTCTTTGTTAAATGGCATTTAAATATATAAAATAAATATCAAAAATATTTATGGTTGCAAATATCAAAACATTTCTATATGTGACATGGCACCAGAGTTAAGTTAGGGTTTTTCAAAATGCTGACACGCGAGCTCAAAAGGTTCGCCATCACTAATATATACAGTACTGATTAAAGTAGATATGGTCTCTGCCCTTCTGGAAATGACAGGAAAAGTCCCTGTTAAAATGTCTAAGGACATCTCAAATGAAAGCTTACCTGATCCCTCCAGTATGACAACTCCCTTTAATGAACAGTAGTAGGCTCTGTTTATACATCTGGGCCCCACCTAACTATAGGTCAAGGCACTGGGGGTATTATTTGGGCTTTTACCTTGGCCCAAACACATATTATATTATAAACTCCTTGAAGGCTAGTCATGTAGCTTTTTTTTTTAAACTTCACCTTGCACACTTATTGAATTCTTATGGAGAATAAATGGGTGAATCTCCTAATACGGGAAATAGCATGGTCAAAGAAAA